CGCTGGAGGTGGCATGAGGGAAGGAGGGTAAGTCCTGGAATGGCCTCTCCCCCACCCCGTCACCTATGGGGCTTCAGCACAGCTGGGGAGGGGACCCCGGGGATAGTCCTGGCACAAGTTCCTGTGGGACAAGCCCTGAGTGCCAGGAGTGTTCCTTCTGGGGTCAGGTCACCTCCTAGGGTCCTCAGAGCCTCCAGAGGGTCCAGGCCTCCCCCAAGCCCAGGCCACAGCAGGCCTGGTGCCCCTGGTCCCTCCCTCCCTTTGGGGTTGCAAATGCCATAAGCCCGACTCAGTGGAAAGGCTAGTGGCTCCATTCTCCAGCACTCTGCCCTGGAGTCTCTTCTCTGACACTTATTTTAAGAGACGCTTGCAGGCACCAGCTCTTTGCCAGGACTGGGAGATAGGGCAGGGCTGGGATCTTGGCTGGGGCAGGGCCTCGGGCCGTCGGGGTCTCCTCCCACCTGCACAGCAAAACCAGATGCGCCTGAGTTAAGAAACACTTGCTGGCAAGTGTTTCTTAAAAGAATAGATGGGCCAGGGCAGGGTGGCTCACAGCTGTAATCCCAGCACTTCGGGAGGCTGAAGCGGGGGGAGTGCTTGAGCCTAGGAGATGGAGTGTGAGCTGGCATATCCATAGCCCAGTTTGGTCCTGTGCCCATGTCCTGCCACATCCCAGCAGGAGGCACTTAGTGGAAAGAAGAATCACCACCCCTGCACTATCATCGGGAGGTGGGCGAGCTGTGCAGTTGCTGAGGGGCCAGCCCGTGTCTTGGACCCTGGTGTCCAAGACAGATGGTCACTAACTCAGACAGGACTGGTCCCAGCTGCACACCAGTCGCCGGGTTAGGAATAAGGAGACCAAGTGAGCCCATGAAGGACCCTACACCAGTCCCCAAGGCCACCTGGGTGGTCAGGAGGAACCCAAGGGGGACTCTACCCAAAGCCCCTCTAGCTAGGGTGGGGTTGTCTCCCAGCAGAGCTTCCTTAACCCGCTATCAGTCCTTGCTGGGTGAGGGATCGGGAGGTAGGAGTCTTCCCTGGGGTCCACCCCCCTGCTGCTGCCACCTGATAGGAGGTCTCTGTCCAGTCCCACTAGGTAGTCCTGCCAGGGTTGGGCAGGTGGGAGGTGCTGGCCCGAAGGAGGGAGGCCTCCAGCTCCTGGTTCCAGGCACTCATTGCGGCCTCTTGTTACCCCACGGTCAGTAGCCCTGAGGATGGGCGCCCTGCTCTGCCCTGGCCAGCTGTGAGTACAGCCCCGACCCTGTGCCAAGCCGCCCCCGAGATGGAAAGTGCGGGAGGATGACCAAACCCAGCCCTGGCCAGTGAAGGCCAGCAGGAGAGCTCCAGATGGAGCCCAGAGGCTTTTTTCTCAAACTGCCCTTTTACTCTCTGCAAACCCTTCCCTCAGGCTGGCAGGCAGCCGCCTACCAGCTCTGCCTCACCGTACAGAAATGCTCTCACGCCCTCAGCAGTGCCCCGCAGATGGCTGAGGGATTCGTCACCATCGTCCCACACCATTGCAGAGGAATCTTGTTAAGCCTTAAGAAATAACAACACTAGGTGTCCAGTGTACAGAATTTCAAAAATTATGAAAAACAACAAAAAGAAGACCCCATAAGCCAATTGTCAAGAGGTAACCTCTCTTACCTTCTTGTCAGACATCCTTCTGATCATCTTTTCCTCCACATTGAAATATGTATTTTTAAAATTTTCTTTTGAGGGGTCTTGCTATGTTGCCCAAGCTGGAACACAGTGGTGCAAACACAACTCACTGCAGGCCTTGACTTCCTAGGCTCAAGCAATTCTCCTGCCTCAACCTCCTGAGTAGCTGAGACTACAGGCACACGCCATCACACCTGGCTAATTTTGCAACTTTTATATAGAGATGGGATCTCACTATGTTGCCCAGGCTGTTCTCAAACTCTTGGGTTCAAAGCGATCATCCCAGTTCAGCCTCCCAAAATGTTGAGATCAAAGGTATGAGCCACCATGCCCAGCCTGAATATGTATTTTAAGGGATTCACACCACATAATGCATTCTACAGGTGGCCCCAACACTTTACACCCACCAGTGGCCAGAAGTCAGCCCCCACCCCAATGATCTGTGCTGGATTCCGTGTCATGGCTCCGTCATCTGGTTTGGGACGTTTTGGTTTCTCGGTGTCTCACTAGCATATATCACTGTGATAAATAATCTTGTTTCCACGGATCTTTGCACAGGTATGTGGATCCCCCCCAGCTCAGGATAAATTCCTACAAACAGATTCTGGCTCACAAAGCTGCACTTTTTGACACATGCTGCCATGGGGATTTTACAGGTTATTTCTTTTTTCTTTTTCTTTCTTTTTTTTTTTTTTTGAGATGAAGTCTCACTCTGTCGCCCAGGCTGGAGTGCAGTGGCACGATCTTGACTCACTACAACCTCCGCCTCCCAGGTTCAGGCAATTGTCCTGCCTCAGCCTCCTGAGTAGCTGGGATTACAGGCGTGAGCCACCACGCCCAGCTAATTTTTTTGTATTTTTAGTAGAGACGAGGTTTCACCATGTTGGTCAGGCTGGTCTCAAACTCCTGACCTTGTGATCCACCCACCTTGGCCTCCCAGAGTGGTGGGATTACAGGCACGAGCCACCACACCAGGCCTTTACAGGTTATTTCTGTTGGGGGCAGAGGACCCAGAACCTAATAAAAGATTAATGTTCTTTTTTTTTTTTTTCTGTTGCCCAGGCTGGAGTGAGGTGGTATGATCTTGGCTCACTGCAACCTCCGCCTCCCAGACTCAAGCGATTCTCCTGCCTCAGCCTCCTGAGTAGCTGGGATTACAGGTGCCCGCCACCATACCTGGCTAATTTTTGTATTTTTTAGGAAGGACAGGCTTTCACCATGTTGGCCAGGCTGGTCTCAAACTGCTGATCTCAACTGATCCGCCCACCTTGGCCTTCCAAATTACTGTGATTACAGGCATGAGCCACGGAGCCTGGACTAAATGTTTTGTCCTAAAACTGCTTATTGCAAAGAAGTGGTGGGAGGCCAAGGCAGCTGGATCACCTGAGGTCAGAAGTTCAAGGCCAGCCTGGCCAACATGGTGAAACCCTATCTCTACTAAAAATACAAAAAAATTAGCCGGGCGTGGTGGCTCACGCCTGTAATCCCAGCTACTCAGGAGGCTGAGGCAGGACAATTGCCTGAACCTGGGAGGTGGAGGTTGTAGTAAGCTGAGATCACACCACTGCACTCCAACCTGGGTGACAGAGTGAGACTCATCTCAAACAACAACAACAACAACAACAATAGCAAAGTAGTTGTGGAATATCCACCCCACACCCCTCTCTGAATAGCTACAGGAGTGGGATCCACTGGAAAAGAAATTGTGTTGAGCCTGGAGTGACCATTCCTCTTCTGTGTGTTGGGTCAACCTGGGAGACTGGAAGCCCAAATGAGCAGGGCCCCTCCTAGGGGCCAAGATGGGTAGTACCAGGGCCGGTGCCAGGACCCCTGGAACACAGAAGCAGCCTGCTGATGACCCGGCTCCCGCCAGCCAAGGCTTCAGGCAGCCACCACCACCCTGTCTGCCCAGCCACCCTGTACCCGGGACACACTGGTCTCCACGCCAGCAGACTGCACACCCTTCTCTGGTTAAAGCCACCTCATCAGAGTCTATTCTATAAGGAGGCAGTGATATGGGGACCCCTGTCCTTTCAGTGATGGACAAAGGGGCCTGCTCCCACCTTCATGCTCATCACCATCCTCTGACCAGGGCAGACCTGGGGTCAAAAGAGAGCTGTACGGCCTGGGGAAGCAGCTTCACCCTCCCCTGCCTCAGTTTCCCCAGACTGGGTGAAATAGTGGCTCCCAAAAGATGTGCCCACTTGCATGCTCAGAATGGAACCTTATTTGGAAACCGATTTTTTGCAGATATAGTTAAAGTAAGGATGTTAAGAAGAGATCATCCTGGGTCGGGGGACCCTAAATCCAATGGCAAGTGACTTTATAAGAGTTAGAGAGAGGCTCCCCATTGGAGAAACAAGATAATGTAAAAAAATAATAACAATTTGGGTTTTTTTTTTTTTGAGACAGAGTCTCACTCTTTCACCCAGGCTGGAATGCAGTCACGTGATTTCGGCTCACTGCAACCTCTGCCTTCCAGGTTCAAGTGAGTTTCCTGCCTCAGGCTCCCAAATAGCTGAGATTACAGGCACATACCACTACACCCAGCTAATTTTTGTATTTTTAGTGGAGATGGCGTTTCACTGTGTTGGCCAGGCTGGTCTTGAACTCCTGACCTCAAGTGATCCACCTGCCTCACCCTCCCAAAGTTCTGGGATTACAGGCATAAGCCACCACACCCAACCAACAATTTTTTAAAAGAGAGAAAGAGGCTGGGCGAGGTGGCTCAGGCCTGTCATCTCCAACACTTTGGGAGGCCAAGGTAGGAGGATCACTTGAGCCCAGGAGTTGGCTAACAGCCTGGACAACATAGTGGGACCCCCCATCTCTACAAAAAAAATTTTTTTTTTTTGAGACAGAGTTTCGCTCTTGTTACCCAGGCTAGAGTGCAATGGCGCGATCTCGGCTCACCGCAACCTCCGCCTCCTGGGGTCAGGCAATTCTCCTGCCTCAACCTCCTGAGTAGCTGGAATTACAGGCATGCGCCACCATGCCCAGCTAATTTCTTGTATTTTTAATAGAGACGGGGTTTCACCATGTTGACCCGGATGGTCTCGATCTCTTGACCTAGTGATCCACCCGCCTCGGCCTCCCAAAGTGCTGGGATTACAGGCTTGAGCCACCGTGCCCGGCCCCCAAAAAAATTTTAAAACAGGTAGAAAGTGGAAGACACAGAGACAAAAAAGCAGGTAGAGATGAGAGTGTCCACAAGCCAAGGACACCTGGAGCCCCCAGAAGCTCCAAGAAGAGGCAGGAAGGACCCTCCCCTGGAGCCCTCAGGGGAGGTTTGGCCCTGCCCCAGCCTTGACTTTGGACCTCTGCCCTCCAGAACTTACAGTAAATGTGTGCTGTTTGAAGGCATGCCATTGTGGTCATTTGTCACAGCAGCCACAGGAAACTCATCCACATTGGAAAAGAGGAAAATGCTTCGCACAGGTTTTATAAGGATGAGAAGCACTCTTGCAGGGTGCTTGGCACACCGAGTCCTGCGAAACTGCAGCTGCTCACTCAGCAAACTGGAGCCCTTGCGTGTGCCGGGCACTAGGCCGCAAGACAGGGAGTTGGCCTCTCTGCAGCTCGGCCCTGCTCCAAAGCCAGCAGGCAAGGGTGTGGACAGATAGCGCTGTGGGGACAGAGGAGGATGGAGCTGAGGCTGGCTTCACTGCACAGCAAGATGAGCCCGGGTCAAGGGCAGAGATGGGGGTGTGCCAGGTGGAAGGAAGGCCTGCCTGTCATGGGGCAGGGCTCTGGGCATAGATGGGTGCAGGAAGTGGGGCAGCGCCAGAGAAGCTGAAGAAGAGATGAGGCCACCTCCAGGGACGGGGTGGCTGAGGGCCAGGGGCTTGGGGGTGAAGGGGCTTGAAACATAGCAGGGGTTTCCTTGGCCTGGCACTGGGGTCTCCAGGGTGCAGCAGGTGATGTCCAGGTGGGAGGCAAAGGGGTATGAATTCTGGCCCAGGCAGGGCACACAGGGCCTGACTCCAGCACTGCCTGTGGGACTTGGGGTGTCCTTGCACAGAGCACAGTCAAAGCCTCCCTGACATGGGCTTCCTGCCCATGCCTCAGTTTCCCCGGGCTTTCCCGGAGCTGTCATTGTAGCACTGTAGGAACGCAAAGCAAAGCTAAGGACCCTCCCATCGGCCTGACACCTGCCGGGCAGCCACTCTTCAAGGGACTGTGTGCTGGGGGCCCACCCAGTGTCATTGGTGCTGGACACCAAAACCCCTGACTGCTGGAGCTACAGTACCCCCCGCACCCTGTCCTGGGATAGCTGGGACCATCTCAGACCTGAGGGGAGACCAGGAGCCCCCCAACACCAGGAGCATCCCACGGCAGGGTGGGGGCCGAGTAGGGCAAGTTCCCAGACAGGCTCAGCTGGCCCTGGCCCTGGCCCAGCCTCCCCGTGCCCAGCTTGTGAGGCCGCCCTTTGAGCTTCTGGATTAGTATTCACGCCGAGTCCCCAGCTCTGAAAGCCCTTGTTCCCTCCGGAGAACAGCCAGGGTGGCTGGGGCTGGGGGGCACTCAGTGCAAAGTCACAGCCCCAGCACATACACTGGGGCCCTTAACCCGCTCCCCCAGGACCCCTCCCCCACTGTTGGGGCTCCCTGTGGACTCAGCTAAGTCTGGGGGCCGGGGGAGGGGCCGTCTGCCCATCTCTCTGTCTGTCTCTCTGTGTTTGTATCTCTCTCTGTCTGTCTTGGGGCCCTTGTTCTCTCGATCTCTCTCTCTGTCACCGTCTCCCTCCTCCCTCCATCCCCATTTCCTACCCTCTTGTGCTGTGTGTGGTGAGGCGCCCTGGGAGAATCCTGACATGTGGCTTCTCCAACAGGGAAAGACACACACACGGGCCAGGCACATGGGAGTATCTCCGATGGCATCTCCCTGCAACCTCTGTTCCTGTCAGGGTCTGTCTTGACTCTGAGTTGCCTGCAGACCTCCCCACAGCCCTGCAGTGGGACCCTAACAACAAGAATAACAAAGGCTTGGCTGGGTGAGGTGGCTCACACCTGTAATCCCAGCACTTTAGGAGGCCAAGTCAGGTGGATCTCTTGAGCCCAGGAGTTCAAGAGCAGCTTGGGCAATATAGCAAGACCCACCCCCCATCTCTACAAAAAAAATAAAAAGTTATCTGGGCATGGTGGCATGCGCCTGTAGCCCCAGCTCTCTGGGAGGCTGAGGTGGGAGGATCACCTAAGTCTGGGGATGTCAAGGCTGCAGTGAGCCATGATTGCACCACTGCACTCCAGCCTGGGCAAGAGTGAGACCCTGTCTCAAAAAAAAAAAAAAGAGTAACAGAAGCTGTGTTGATGGTGCCCATGGTCAGGCACGCACTGGCCAGGCCAACTTGGGGTTTTCAGGCCTGAGTCTCATCTAGCTCAGCCATGCCCCCTTCAGCCCTGCATCCTCAGCTCTGAAACGGGGTTCTAAGACGGATGGGATTGGCCACGAGGGGGCATCCGTGGGCAGGGATGCAAACAACCGGCACTCAGGGTCCCCAAAGGTTTCTGACCTGCAGGCTGCGCTCCCTGGTGCCTGTGGGTCAGCAACGTTTTGGCAGATGCAGGGGTCCCAAAGGCCTGGTGTCTGGTGATTTGGCCAGGGTGCTCACCCAAGGCCACACCATGGACCTGGGAAACAACCCCAGGCTTGGCCAGTAGGGTTACCAGGGAGTCCAGCAGCATCCATGGGGGGCGCACCCAGGGAAGGAGCCCCCAGTGAGTGCGCGGGCCTCGTCGGACAGGCCTACGAGATGCATGAGAGGCCCCAGCTCTGTGGCCAGCACGAAGTGGCCGAACCCCCGGCCCTGCAGCATAGCCCAAGTAGCCAGAGCCAGCCTGCAACAGCCAAGACCTTCCTGAGTCATCACCTCTGCCTCTCACACCCCCAGAGCTGGGGTCAGGGTGAAAATGAGCAGGGAGCCCCTACTCCTTGGAGGTATCCAGCAACCCCAGCCGCAGAGGGGACCTTGGGCAGCAAGGAACAGCCAGGAGTGCCAAGGACATGTCTGGCCCCCTCTGGAGGCTTCACAGCTTGAAGCTGCTGGGCGTCTGGGCTCCCAGGGGTGCCCAAAGAAGCCCTACAAAAGCCAGGATCTCCAGCGTCTGCTGGGTGCGCTGCACACCCGCCCAGCTTGGCAGGGCTCAGGGAGCCTGTGGGGCCGGAGACCCAGGCAGGTGCCCAGAGAGCCAAGCACCTGTTATGGGAGCTCTGGAAGCAGCCCCCTGGTGAGACAACTCTGGGGGTGCCACAAGCACCCCCAGACCTCCCTCAGCACCTCCCATCCCAGGAATCCCCATCATCCCAGCCCTACCCTCCTCCTCCAAGTGCCACTGTCACCAAGGAGCATCTAATCAACCTCCAAAATAGCTTTTAACTGTCCCCCATCCCAGGCCGGCTGCAGACTCCTCGGCCTGCACACACCCCTTTCCAAGCCACTTGCCTCCAAGAGGAAGCCTTTCAAAGACAACATCTCACCAGCTCCAGCTGTCAGCTGCATCCCCCTGGCTCTGTCTGCCCTGGTCTCACATCCCTAGTCCTACCTCCAGGGTCCCTCTGCCTAGAAGGCACCCTGCTGTCCTGGCACCCTGCACCCCCAGCTGGGCCTCCTCCACTCAGATTAAGCCCTATCCTCCTTCAGGGCCATGGCCCCTCGCCGCTTCTCCTGGGCTCCAGACTCTGTCCTTTCCTCCCTGGCCTCCCAGCCCTTGCCTGGGCCATGCCTTCCACCTGGACCGCCGGCCTGGATGCCTCTCACCCCACATTTAGGCTTCAGGCCCCACAGTCGTCTCTTCCCAGGACCCTCCCGGCACGCACTTTGGCAACTCTTACACGTACCTGTTCAGCGTCGGCCTTCGCCCAGGACTGCAGGCTGGGGATGAGGGCAGCAGCCACCTCTGCCAGTCCTGTCAGCACCTGCTATGTCAATGTCCAGCCCACAGTGGGTGCTCAATCCAGGCAGCTGTGCTGCTGCAGGTCACAGCAACACTCAGACACCCCCCTGCCCGCAAACACCCTGCACCGGCCCACGCGGCCATCACACTCAGAGCACACGCGCCCCAATGCGGCTGCACTGTTGGTACATGCACAGGCACGCACACACCCACACGCACATGCACATACGCACACACGTGGCAGCATGCACGCCGGGGCGCCCCAACCTCTCCACACGCCCTCCTGCAGCCACCTGGCCTCTGTCCCCACGCGTGTCACACACGGCCTGGTGTGCTTGCTCACACCACTGTCCCTCGATGTCGCTCCAGCCGGCACCCGGAGCTCGATCAGGAGAGCTGCTGTTGGCCGCCTCTGCCTGCCAGCGTTTGCCAAGCAGTTTCCATGGCGACACATCTTGGCTCCGACAGGAACCAAGAAGTGTGGGGAAAAGGGTCCCCACGGAGGGGGTGAGGTAGGAGGTCTCTGCGTCTTCAGGTTCCCAGCAGGCATGGGGAGGCTCCCACAAGTGCAGACACCCCCCACCCCAAGCCCAGGTGGGCTTGCACCCCAAGAAGGAGGCTCTGGGATGGTCCCTCTGGGCTGCCTGGCACAGGAGCTGACTTAGGTCACTCATTCAACAAACTTTCTGGAAGAGCCACTCTGTGCTGGCAGCTAGGGCTGCAATGTTGCCCAAGACATGGGCTTGCATGAGGCTGAGTGAGTCCTGAGGCTAAACTGACATCTGGCCACCCCACTGAAGGCCCCATCTAGCAGGTTGGTTCGTGGCTCCCTAAGCACCAAGGCCCAACCACTCACCTTCTCAAAGGGGGGCTCCCCTCTGTGGTAGATCAATTACAAAAGTGACCTTGATGCCCCACTTCTCCCTGAATCACCATGCCCTTTGCCCTGTGACTTTGTCGCAACTCTTATCTAGCGGTGGAGTCTACTTCCCCATCCTTCAATCTGAGCCTGTCTTATGACTTGCTGTAGCCAATAAAAGGTGACAGCAGTGACATTGCTGGCTCTAAGCTTAGGCCTCCAGGGACATGCATGCCTCTGCCTGCTTTCTCTGACTCCTGCTATAGCATGAGAACGACGAGCTGGGCTGCTTTGCAGGAAGGCAAGAGGGTGTATGGAGCCTGGGTCACCCGAGCTGAGGCCATCCTGGACTAGCTAGCTCCCAGCCAAGCTGGAAGCTGCCCACAGATGTGTGAGTGAGCCCAGCCAGGAAATGCCAGGCCCAACACTGAGAGCAGTACAGCCTGGCCAGCCCATAGGCCCTTTAATACTAAGGAAATGTGAAGCCATGCATTCGGGGCTGTTACCCAGCACTAACTGATACACCCTCTCTCTAGGGCTCTGGCTAGCAGCCACCCAACCTCAGCATAGGCCAGAGGCTCTAAAAGTTCCTAGAGTTGCTGAGAACCAGGCAGAGAGGAGAGCCGGATTCCACAGGCTAACAGTGCCCAGGGCAGCAGAGGCAGAGCTTGTGAGAGGGGTTCCCATGTCAAGCCCACGGCAGGAGCTACTAAAGCAGAAGCACGAGTCTCTACTGCCTTTCTTTGCCTCAGTTCTTCCCCCTGTGAAATGGGCCCATTGCCCTTTCCTGCCTCCTGAGGCTACCTGGTAAGGTAGTGTGTGTGGCAGCTGGACATAGACCTACTACGTGCCAGCTTCAGGCTGCAACCTAGGGACAGAAGCCCATCGCTGCCTTCTAGGTCCCCACAACTGAGAAGACGGCGTCACTAATCCCAGCTTAAACAGGAAACGGGGCAAGGATGGGTGACTTGCCTAAGGCCTGGGACACACAGGAGCAGGTAGTCATGGTCACAAGCCCCAGCTGGGTCCGAGCTGGTCGTTTTCTTCATGTTTTTCTCTCCATAGTCGTCTTTTGGGAAATATTGTACTTCCTGAGCTAACTGCACTTACAAGGTTATGATTGGTGTGTTTGCGGGGTTTTTTTTTGTTTTTGTTTTTTGGATTTTCACTATCTCCTGTAATGGCTATAAGCAATTTTTTTTTAAATGAGACAGTCTCACTCTTGCCCAGGCTGGAGTGCAGTGGTGCGATCTTGGCTCACAGCAATCTCTGCCTCCTGGGTTCAAGCGATTCTCCTGCCTCAGCCTCTCCAGTAGCTAGGATTACAGGCACCCACCACCATGCCCAGCTAACTTTTGTATTTTTAGTAGAGACGGGTTCTTACCATGTTGGCCAGGCTGATCTTGAACTCCCGAGCTCAAGACGTCCACCCACCTCGGTGGCCTCCCAAAGTGCTGGGATTACAAGAGTGAGCCACCGCGCTGAGCCCTGCAGTCTCTTTTCATCAGGTACCATGGTTCAGCGTTACTGTCTAGGGGACAACTGATCCAAAGAGCCCCTCCCTCTCTGAGCTCTCCCACACCAGAGCTGAGAGCCAGGCTTCCCAGACCCCCGTGGTAGGACCTTGTATCTGAGTCCAACTTACCTGCAGCACGAGGCCTCGCAGTTAGTTGCCTGCTATCTTGTCAGCTGTTCAGTATTGCTGGAGTGATGGCCTTAAGCTATTTCACCCAGCATATTTCGTTGTCTTCAGGGAAACGGCTGATCCAGGCACCCTGCCTGCTGTCACCGGGAAAGGACATGTGCCCAGTGGCAGGGCTGACGTCACCGCTGCATCCGGTGGGGCGAGCCAGTCCACGGCTGTGCTGCCTGGGAGGTGCCCTTTTGTCAGAGGGCATTTGCCAAAACCAGCAAACTTGGGTTCTCATTCTTTGGCCTTGTGGGGTCAGGGGGCAGAAGTCGTGGCCAGTCCTCCCCAAAGTGGGGAGCATTATAGAAAACCCTTCCCATCCTAACCTGAACACCTAAAGGGCTATACTCTAAGGGTAAGAATGAATCGGAATTAGCCCTGCTCCCCTCACAGGAAAGACTGCCTTGGTGCTAACAGAAGCAAAAAGTTATTGAGAAGTTAGCTACCGGTCTTCTCCAGCATAGATTTGAGGCCCAGAAACACAGAAAACTGCAAGCACTAGATGTATTCTTTTGTTTTGACATAGGGTCTCCATCACCCAGGCTGGAGCACAGTGGTGTGATCACAGCTCACTGCAGCCTTGAACTCCTGGGCTCAAGCAATCCTTCCACCTCAGCTTCCCACGTAGCTGGGACTTCAAGTGCATATCACCATGCCCAGCTAATCAAAAAGAAAAAAAGAGTAGCCGGGTGCAGCGGCTCATGCCTGTAATCCCAGCACTTTGGGAGGCCATGGCAGGTGGATCAACTGAGGTTAGGGGTTTGAGACCACCAGCCTGGCCAATAAGGTAAGACCTTGTCTCCACTAAAAATACAACAATTAGCCAGGTGTGGTGGTGCACACCTGTAATCCCAGCTACTGGAGTGGCTGAGGCATGAGAATCACGTGAACCTGGGAGGCGGAGGTTGCAGTGAGCCGAGATTGAGATTGCACCACTGCACTCCAGCCTAGGCAACAAGAGCAAAACTCTGTCTCAAAAAAAAAAAAAAAGTGTAGAATGGGGTCTTGCTATGTTGTCCAGGCGATTCCCAAACTCCTGGCCTCAAACAGTACTCCTATCTTGGCCTCCCAAAGTGCTGGGATCACAGGCATGAGCCACTATGCCCAGCTCTTTAGGAGGCTAGTATATTTGGTTTGCAGTGGCCTCCAGTGGGTACTGCCCCAACTTAACTCCTCCCTAGTGGACTCCACCTTCATCCTAGGCCTCAAAGAATCTCTTGATCAACATTTTTCAAAGCCAACAAGCAGCCCGCTATTAAAGATGACCAAGAACACAGGGAAACAAGACATCATGAGTGACCTGCACAGGCCTCAGACATGAGGACGGTCGCGCACTGTGCCAGACACTGGGATGGTTGTGTGCTGTGACTGACACTGGCCAGGTGGTCCTGTTAACTTTCCAGGGACCCAGACTAACCAGGTAGTGTGTGTGGCAGCTGGACACAGATCTACTATGTGCCAGCCCTGGGAGGCAACCTAGGGATAGAGGCCCATCGCTGCCTTCTAGGTCCCCACAACTGAGAAGGCGGCGTCACTAATCCCAGCTTACAGACAGGAAACGGGGGAGAGGATGGGTGACTTGCCCAAGACCCTGGACACTCACAGAAGCAGGTGGGCATGGCCACAAGCCCTGGCTGGGTCTGAGCTGGTCGTCATCTTCATGTTTTTCTCCCCATAGTCACCTGTAATTCCTGAGCTAAATGCACTTACCAGGTAATGATTGGTGTGAGTTTGCAGTCTCTTTTTTATTTCATGAGGCAGAGTCTCACTGTGTTGCCCAGGCTGGAGTGCAGTGGTGCAATCTTGGCTCACTGCAACCTCTGCCTCCTGGGTTCAAGTGATTCCCCAGAATTTTTCATAGCTGGGCAGGGCCACACGGCTAAAATTCTAGATGATGAAATGTGCGTGATAATGACAGGAGTAACCTCCATCCCTAGCTCATAATAACCTCTCAAAGAAGTTAGTTAAGGGAAGGCCGGGTGTGGTGGTTCACACCTGTAATCCTAGCACTTTGGGAGGCTGAGATGAGCAGATTACCTGAGGTCAGGAGTTTGAGGCCAGCTGACCAACATGGCAAAACTCCATCTCTACTAAAAAATACAAAAATTAGCCTGGCATGGTGGCGTGCACTTGTAATCCCAGCTACTTGGGAGGCTGAGGCAGGAGAATCACTTGAACCTGGGAGGCAGATGTTGCAGTGAGATGAGATGCTGAGATTGCACCACTGCACTCTAACCTAGGGTGATACATTGAGACTCTGTCTCCAAAAAAAAAAAAAAAAAAAAAAAAAAAAAAAAAAGGGGGAAGAGAAGATGAGAGGAGAAAGGAGAGAATATTTGAAAGGATACTGGCTAAGAATTTCCCAGAACTGAAAACTACTGATCCACAGATTCAAGAATCCCAGTGAATTCCAAGAAGAATAAATAAAACGAAACTCTCACCTACACCTAATAGTAAAATTGCAGAAAACCAAGAACAATTCAAAAAACATCTTAAAGCAGCCAGAGGAAAAAGAGGTTACTTTGAAAGACCAGATGCTAGACTGACAGCCAAACTCCTGAACATAGCAACAAAAGTCAGGGGATGCTGGGATGTGCTGAAAAACTTCAAAGCACTACAAAACAATTGTTTGGCTGGATGTGGTGTGGTGGTGGCTCACGGCTGTAATCCCAGCACTCTGGGAGGCTGAGGTGGGCGTATCACTTGAGGCCAGGCTG